AAGCCAATAGAAAATATTTGGGGGCTGGAGAGATGGCTCAGAGGTTAACAGCACCGGCTGCTCTTCCAGGGGTCCTGAGTTCAATTCCCAGCAACCATATGGTGGCTCACAACCATCTTCTAATAATGAGATTTAGTGCCCTCCTCTGGCATACTGTCAAACACTGTATACATGGTAAATAAATCAATCTTTAAAAAAGAAAATACTTGGAATGTTAGCAAGGACTTCCTTCAATAATATTTTATGGTTCTATACTGTTAAAAAACATTTATATACACAAAGCTATTCTTGTATTCCCATTAGAAGGGTATTTAAACCAACAGACTTAAGATGTGGCTCAGACCTTAAGATGTGGCTTAAGGTATCTTGGCATGAGTAAGGCTATGAGTTCTGGTCTCAGCATCATAAAAACCAGGCGTGGTAGCTTATGCCTCTAATTCTTTAGGGTGGAAGCAAGAAGATCAAGTTCAAAGTCATTCTCAGATACTTAGAGAGTTTGAAGTCATTTGGGGCTACGTGAGACTCCATCTCAAAAAATAGAAAAAAAAAGAAACTGTAGATTGGAAAATTTTCTACAGAAAAACAAACTATGTTAACCGATTTCTGAAAAGTTGCAGATATTGATCCACCTGTCCTTTTCTGTATTTACTTCTATATTTCTAAATTCCATATAGGAATACACTAACTTTCTTTGTCTGGTCTCAAAAATGCACCTCTTGGCCAGGCACAGTGGAGGCAAAGGCAAGATGATCACCAGAAAGTGTCTGAAAAAGCCACAGACAGACAGATAGACAGACAGACAGACAGACAGACACACACACCCTCAACTCCCGGAATCATTTTTAGTGTAATCTTGAAAACATAATCTGACTGCATTGTTCTTACTAATCACTGAAACTGCCACTATCTGATGTAGAAAAGGGTGTGACTAAATAATAACAGCACGAGCACATTTCCACCGGCAGGACCAAGGCACGTCACACAAGCATCACTCCTTGGTGTTTGGATATTCTGGAATCATTTCTCAGGTTGAGTTCTTTAGTTTTCAATTCTTAATACACCTTGTAAGTTTAGTATACAATGGTGCTTGCTCATAGCACTGATTCCCTGGAAAGACCGATAAAGCACCATCTCTTCAATGTCCTCCAAGAGACTGCCACCTGACAGGAGTGACCCTAGCTACTGCCTAGCTTTCCGTCACGTGCAGCCCACCAAATAAACCTGTTTGTGTTCCGTGGGACAAACCGCCTCAGAAGCCCCGGTGGTCTGAACGTCTGCAGCACCGTACCTTGACTTTCACCAGCCTCTTCACAGTCTTGATCTTCGCCTCACAGAAGGCCCCTCGGTACTTGGCACTGACGTCAGTTCCCACTGTCAGGTAGGCAGGCTCGTCGGCCGCCTGAGGAAAGAAGGGAAACGCTGCACATCACTGCTGTTCTCCCTGACCCCAACCTCCAACAGCATCAGAAGGGGCTACATTTCAAGTCATCTCGGAACATTAAAATTACTGGCCTAATAGCAGTGATAATATGGGAAATACTCCTAAAGCAAACACCTTATTAACACTACTTCATTTTATAACTCATTTCCTAGTGCTATAAAATGTTTTAAAGTTACAACTGGAAACTACCAGTAGGAAAAAAAATGATTTTTTTTTTCAGATACAACAAGTTTAAGAAATTCTACAATTTAATATATAGGAAACAGAGAGATAAGAAAAAACAGCAAGAATGCATTTATATTAAAAGTCTCATAAATTTTATTAATTTTGGGCCTCCAGGTAATTCTGTTTCCTAGTTTAAAACGAAATATTGCTATAAAATTAATATTAACAAATACATAATTAAACATTTAATGAGACAGCTTTATAAAGGCAACATCTTTTGCTTGCTTTGGGCTTTTGAGACAAGGTGCAGGCTGTCTCAGTCTCCTAAACCCTAGGACAGGACAGGGCCACCGAGCTGTCAGTCTCTTTTGATACAGTGTATCTCTACAGACAAGAGAGCAAGCAAACTCCTGTGAGAAAATGCATTGGCCAGAGATTGCATCTGGAAGGCTTAAGTCTATTAACTGATGAAAGCGTTTATAAACTGATCACTAAAGACTGTAGCCATATCTAGTCTGCAACATTAATCTTCTCAGTATACTTAAAAGAAAATTTTATTAAGAAATGCCCACTTAAGCCGGGCGGTGGTGGCGCACGCCTTTAATCCCAGCACTCGGGAGGCAGAGACAGGCGGATCTCTGTGAGTTCGAGGCCAGCCTGGGCTACCAAGTGAGCTCCAGGAAAGGCGCAAAGCTACACAGAGAAACCCTGTCTCGAAAAACCAA